TTAAGAGACTTAAGATGACTACCAATGTCTTCATTCATGATTTGATGGATTTCTCGTAATTACAAGTCATGTCATGTGTCGGAGAAAACACATAAAATACTCCAACCATTGACTCGTATTATAAATAGTCATCAATTTCTGTATACAAGAGTCAATTTGATTCATTATATGTATAATACTTTTTCTATTCATTTAATTTTGTGCTCATAAACTAAATTGTTGTATATTATATATTATGTATATGTTATTCTGTATAAGGTTGAATTATTTGATCAAAATGATCAAAATCGTTATCAAATTACTATAACATCTCAATTATTTTCAGTACTAGAATTTCATTATTATTATTTCAAAATTATTTAAACAATTTTCTACAATATTTAAATAAAAGATTAAAATTTATAAATAATACAATTATTATTAAATCTATGATATGAAAAGTAATTTCATTTGCTAACAAACACTTATTGATAGAGTATTTATTCGATGAAATAGTGGCTAAAAGTAAGCTTGGATTCAATTTATTTCTTTAGTTAAATGAGGCGACTGTTCACTCGTATAGACTATTTGGATATCGAGTAACACATCTATACTGTGTGTCCAGTGATCACGAGTCGGGGTTTAATTGTATTGAGTATGAGTTGTGTTGCATTCATGGAAAGACAATCATATTTTTAAACATAATATGTGCTAGATTATGGGCGAGATTGTGCTATAGTCAGCTAAGTATTACAAAATATAAACTGTAATTTGAACACAAATCATATAATAGATTATTCGATCTTGGGTAAAAATAGTATTTTATTTAATTTTATGTTATAAATGTTTATTAAACATTAGTATTTAATTAAAAATATAATTATTAACTAAATTTAAATATAAAACTTTAAAATAAATGCGATATTTAAGTTTTAATGAACTACTATCAACATTTTACACTTAAAAATACTTAACTTGTTATAGCTAGGAATGAAATAAAAATGGATAAAAAGTGGGTTTTTATAACTGGGCTAAGTGTATCCCTGTGATTCATAAAAAACACATTCATTTAAATTAATTAAATTAAATTAAATTAATTAAATTAAATTAAATTAATTTAATTAAATTAAATTAATTAAATTAAATTAAATTAAATTAAATTAAATTAAATTAATTAAATTAAATTAAATTAAATTAAATTAAATTAATTAAATTAAATTAAATTAATTAAATTAAATTTAATTAATTTAATTATCAGTTTTTGATTTTCAAACATATTAATTCTTGAAATAATTTTATATGAATATTCGTTTATATAAACACTCATTTGATAAAATTGAATAACTATTGATTACAATTTCCTTTAAATTTGTTGATTACTCAGCAAATTTTATTATTCATTATATATTTTCTCATCGATTAATAAAGGTTTGAGTGTTTTATCAATTGAATACTCAAATTATTATAAAGGACTCAAATATTGAAAATCAAAAACTGATTCAAATAGTGAATCAGTTTTGTATTACTCACTGAGATACAAGTGGCCGTCTTTTTGTTACCCACTTTTCTGGAGATCCTAATTATAACTTATTATAATGGTATAATTAATGGTCTGAAAAGTTTTAGTTTTTAATTATTATATATTGATGTGTTTCAGTGCCTCCGAAAAAATTATACATAACTGATAGCAAGAATCAACAGATATCTGGACTCATCGGACCAGTTGAAGAGGGATCTGATGTCCGTATTAGTTGTGTAGTGGAAGGGGGTATGTATTAGACATATGGCTATATTGTCTTGACTTATATATCTTAGTGCTAATGACTAATAGACAGACATTAGATCATTATTCTTAAAAAACAAACTCATCATCCATTATATGATGACATTATATGAAACGATGTCTGAAACTACATATCAATAATAAATGTGTATGTATTGACTCGTATGGATGTATGTATCCGTGTAGGCCGTCCGCCCCCGAGTGTGCACTGGTATCGCGATAATGGGCTGATCGATGCCTCGGCCACCGCTGGTGACGGATCTCTTGTTAGGAATGAACTTCTCATCGAAAATATTCGCCGAAATGATTTGAACTCAATTTACAGCTGTAATGCAATTAATAACAACTTCAGTCAGACGTCTATTTCGACATTTGTCACGTTTGATATTTATGGTAACACTTCTCTCCCATACCATTCACTCCATTCTCTCTCTCCCTATGATATAACCAGAACATTACTATTACATACACACAGAATATTCTGTACCATTGTATGCCATTTCTTATCTCCAAAACACACATTAGTTTCTTAGACTAAAACAGTAGCCAAGGGTTGAGTCAGTGGTCTCGCGAGACTAGAAACGCACGATATATCATATTTTTCGCACAGTTTTACAAACAGTTAGCAAAGCAGAGAATTTATGAATGTTTAGAAAGTATTTTTATTTTCAATGCAGATTAGGTTCGTGATGTCAACCCTGATCAGTTGNGTTTTGTTGGTGAACTTGGACTCCAACTCTTTCCTATCAAATGTCAAGTCGTTTGACTCGATAGCTCTTTGGCTGCTAAGTGTCCGGAGGGGCACATAGACGGGAACGCCTACAAGTCGATGACTGACTTAAATCTCATGAAAAATGGCTCGAAAATGATGACTTCGTCGCCAGGATTTAGATATGATTTGGCCGTTATATGTATGCCATGTAAGGCACCGGCCGTCACCAGAATCTCTTTATTCACATCAATCGTGCGATTCATAAGAATAGAGTAAAAGTAAGCTAAAGCTTTGCGAAGGGATGGGTGACCCTTATGGCCGGTCTTCTGGTGTATTTCAGGCGATGAGTTATCGTTGGCCACACTTTTAAGCGCTTCCAACAGATGTTTGGGTTATAGTTGGCTCCACTGAATGTCAAATCAAACGGTTTGTATTTGTAGCATGTCTTTCAATTCTGCGCTTAGAGTATATCAAACAATATTTGTCATTTTAAATATAGCTATTTAAATACCTGGATCATTTATATTTATTATATTAATGCTCACAAGCCGTCCACATCACTTCTATTGAAAACATTTGCAGTTTTTGGTGATCGCGGATATTTTGATACATGCAAGTGATCAACATTTATCCGCACAGGTTATCAGTATTTGATTATTTGCAAGTAATATGAATATCAAAAATATCATAATGTAACATTTAATTAACGCCATACTGTATTTCAAAATTAATTAATATTTTTAATTATAAATTAAAAATACTTAAATTAAATATCAATTTTCTAAGTATAATGAGTTTATCATTGCATCTAAATATACAGAAAATTTTATTTCAAAGTATGGTTATATTTAGGAAAAATATAAGTCAATGAATTCATATAAAAAATTAGTGTATGTTTGATTAGCCATTCATATTTATAATGTTATTTAATAGTAAAATGTTCATATCATGAGTGACTATAATTGGATTGACGGGACAGTTGGTAGATATGGTCATATAGTTTATGTTACCGGTACTGTATTACAGATTATTCTGGCACAATTTGCTGACATCTAACGAGGTTCCCCATTAAAATTAATCCCGAATTAAATGTTGAACTCAATGTGAGGTAAATGTATGTTTGTATTAATTACAAAGTAATTTACAATTAAATGAATGCATTTATTAAATTAATTGACAATTCAAATAGGTACATTAGACAATATGTATCGTATC